TCATTCTGCCATCTATGTTACTGTTATTACGCGACGCGCCACAATATCGCGTTACCATCCCTATTGTTCCCACAACAATACATCTTCTCCTGCACATATATTAAACTCCTATTAAACAAAAAAAAGCTCAAACTTGAAAATCTCATTTATGACCTTAATCCCAAAAATATCAAAGAAATTGACTTCACCACAATATTCAAGCTAACAGATAGCACCCTATTGGACTTGGCTATTGGCAAATTCAACAATCTATTTAATCTTCTTCATAAAAAAGAACATATTTCTAACTATATACTGAAAATTCTGTACAAAGCATGGAAGCTGAGATTTGCCACAGTGACAACCTCACCGGCTTCTGGAATCAAATGGAAAAAACATCTAGCATTTGTACAACAAATACAATCACTAATGATAACTCTATATTCGATAAAATCTTAAATCTTCTAAACAACTCATTCAATCACACTGACAAATCAATTTTTACCCCTACAGTAATATCATTATTCTGAAAGGGCATTAGCCATTCTGCACTATTGGTGTAAGCCCACCTCCATGGTGGTACCTGGTATCAATAGTTTAGTTGTGATAGGTTACAATTAATTTACTCTATAAAGATTGTTAATGTAATGACAGTAAGTTTTTTATTTAAATAAAGTCTTGCATTTAATGCTCATTTGCGATTAAAAAAAAATTACTTTATTATTATAAAGGTATCAAATATTAAATACTTAAAAATTCGAAGGGTTTATTGAGTCATTAAATATTTTAATATATTATATGTCATATATTGTTATTTTTATATTATGTATATGGTATTTATATTTTAGTAATATAATACTTTATAAAATGTTTATAAGTGATATGAAATAAGAATTATTGTAATATTTTTATTATTCAAAGAAAAAGGTCAAATAATTTATTAGATCTAAAAAAAAAATAATAAATAATAAATTCTTTATACTTTACTAACCTTTGTCAATTGTTATATTTATGTACAGTGTGTTGCAAAAAGAATAATAAAAATTTATATATCACAAGATTATCTCTAACTTTACTAATTTTAGATGAAGTATAATGAAAATTTACTAGAATATGGACTGAAGGTAGACGATCAAGTTTCTTTTATTTTATGACTATATTTCATTGTTACTTTCAAAAAAACTTGTTAACATAATGTCACCTTCTAGGCAAGAAGCACAGTACAATACCATATTACATTTGTAGGGGCAGAAGGTACGCAAGGCTAGCGAGATTTACTACCAGACCAGTATACCACTTGCAACTATCTATAGAAACCTTAAAAAATTAAAAATTCGAGGTGAAATTACATATAAGAAAGGTAATGGGTGACTAAGAAAGATCACCGGTAGCATTTTAAAAATGTTGGGACAATACCTTCAGCAGAATTCTTTACTTTCTTTAAGAACACTGGCATTAAAACTGGAGAAAAGAGTATTAGTGTTTTTCACACTACCATTCAGAGGCATTTGTATAAAATCAGATATCAAAATGCTCTTCCTTTGGGGGTGCCAATGCTAATGAACAATCAGATGCAAAAATGTATTGAATGGACCTGAGAACACCTAGAAGATGATCAGAAAAAGACTATTTTTACAGACGAGACAGCTTTTCAACTATTCCGGAACACAATAAAAAGGTGGTATAAGGATGCACAACCAGTAAAATTCATATCTAAGGACCGAACAAAGGTTTTCGTGTGGAGTGGATTTTGTGCAAGTGGTAAGACTAGTTTATTTTGCTTTACAGAGATTATGGATTCTAAATTTTACATAGATATTTTTCGCGACTGTATTCCTGAAGTTACAAGGATGCTTGAGGGTAACTGGAGATTCCAACAGGAAAATGACCCCAAGCACACCAGTTGTCTGACTAAGGCTTTTCTTGCTGAAAATGTTTTGGATCTTATGTCATGGCCATCAAATAACCCTGACCTAAATCTGATAAAAAATTTATGGCCAATAGTTAAGGGAAACATAAAGAGGTGAATGCCAAAAAATTGCAACAAATTAATGCAGTTTATGGATGAAAAATGGGCAAATATTTCAAAATCTACTATAAAAGAATTATTATGATCAATGAGGTGACAATGCGAATTAGTAATAGAAAAAAATGGAGAAAAAATTTCTTATTAAATTTTTTTTATATAAATCATATACTGTATGTCTTACCTTACTATAAATAAATTTTTACTTGATTTGATGTGTCACTTGTGTCGCAATAAGTAATTTTATAATTATCATTCTTTTTGCAACACATTGTATATATTATACATAGTCAAATATACCGCATAAAAGGGTAAATTGACTAGTTGTTTCAAATCGCTAAATCTACCTCACTGAGAGACAAATGGAACTATACAAGGCTGTATATACAGTATTTTAAAACGACAATTTGTTTAAGCCCTTAGGAAATCTTAGTATTATATCCTGAGCAAATTTTATACTTTTCGTAGAGTATGTTTTTACCAAATTTGTTATGATTCTCTTGAAATTGAATCCAAAATTAGTCTTTATTGAGCTTATATAAGTTCAAGTCCCAAAGTCAGGTCAAAACCTGGCCCTCAGTTAAATATTCGAGCAAGATATTTCTGGCACCATTCGCGTCCCGACCTCGCACGAATCACATATTACTGTAAATGGTTTTGATCCACCGAGATCATTTTTTACGAATCCACAATTCCCCGTCTTTGATGTATACTCTCTTTAGTGCATTCAATAACTTTGAATCTCTGAACTCCCTTAACTTCTAAAAGAACATCCGGTACCTAAAATGCGACCAAGTTAGCATCGCAAAATCAATCTTTGACCGAATCTTTCGCTTATTCTTCAAACCGTGCTCGAAGACTCGAACTTGGGTGACATAACCAATGGGCCAACTGATGATGGAATTAATCAATTAAATCACGGATTCATTGTATAATTCGTAACATCCTTTTCTCAATCGAAATGTCTTTCTTTTCTCAAAGCAAGATCATTGTCGTCTGTAAGTTGACATATTTTTTCGATAAACATTTTATTTATTGTTACCCCACTCGATTAATTGACCGTCAGGGTCATAAACGTGTGAACACCTGGATCGAACGAAATTACCTTTCCCCGAACATCATCTTGATTAGCAATGATATTCAAAGGAAGGAAGCACAAGTAAAAATGCCCCAGGCGATTAATAATTATGTTGACCGTATTGTGTTGATATCTGGTAATTGTTTTGAGGTGATAATATTTTTTAGGTATTTTCTTCTGTTCCTATTTCAATCCCCTATTAAGAATCGAGATGGTTTACATGCAACTTACAGCAGCATTTGTTTTGCATGCAGCCATCAATTGTCGATCACAACTTGACGTCCTAACCGAATATTGTGATTTTTGTACTTTTCTTGCCAAGAATCTATTCGACAAGCTCTTATGTAAACCTGCAGAGCCGATCCTTCCTGGTGACCACAACCTTCTCGATATCTTGTCGGTATGATTGTTCCAAAATGGATGTGAAGCACTTGCATTTCCAGTTGAGATCTGACTCTGGATCTTTTTCGTTTATTTATCCTTTTTTTGATAAAATTTCATGTTTTTGTGCTTCACGGTACCTTTTGCTGAATTATCTTGCTCAAACATAAGAAAATGAGACTTATTTATACTGTATTTTATAAAGAACATTGTAATAACGATAATTCAAAATTTGTTGCCATCAATATTGTATTTGTTTACATAACATATCGTCTCACATAGGGATTTTCCTCGTAACAGCATATGTATGCAACTTAGGGCAGCACCTAATTTAAGTCGACGTGCGTATGCATCGTATGTTCTCTCAATGAACACGCGATTTACAAGAATTTTATAACTATAATTTGTTAAACTTGTTATCAATATTTTTTTTTTGTTTATATTATGTGAAAACTGTGAAGGCTTCATAATTTTTATTGGTATTATGTTTATAGTAATTAAGTTCAGTAATCGATGATCCAAAAAATAGATGTAATATCAATCTGATAACACGGTGCAGTGTCATCGAATATTCCAACTAAAAGTTACGGGAAATAGCCCACAATCTTTTTAATCGTGTGCCAAGGAAGGCAAATTTTATTTGCAATAGAGACTACCAAAAATAGAATATTTTATTTGGTAATAAAACCCATTCCATGTAGTATCACAAAAACAATGATTTAAACGTAAAAACAAAGACAATATCAATAATATTAAATGATGAGAGATGGCCACAGGTTAGAAAAAATAATTGACGTGGTATAATCTAACTCGAATAATCCATTAGATAACAAAGATTTTTTGTGGACGAAATTAAATTCAAGTTTCCGATTTTAGACATATTAATCCGCAAGATGTCGCTTGATGCTATTAAGAAGAAGGTAATGTCCAATGTAGCCGGTGAGCTGCGGGTTGAAGTCAATCAAAGGCACTTGATTGATAAAATGCTGGCACGGTAAGTTTTAAATGAATAATGAATAATTGTTTCTGTTTCATGTTTTAACAAAAAAATCTTGAACAGATATTCGTCCGAATTCGTGTTGTACCGAGAATTAATGCAAAACGCAGGTTCGAATCTTTTCTGCAAGCAGTTACTGATTTTTCGTAAATTAACAAAAATTCTATTAAAAGATGATGCAAAAGCCTCAAGTGTCAAGATCTCATTTGAGTGCACGAAGTCCCGAATTATAACGAAGAAAAAGTGCGAAAGAATAGTCATCATGAACGACGGGATGGCTTTTCGATCGCAAGATTGGAGTCGGTTAAAGAAGATTGCAGAGGGTAACCCAGATGAACAAAAGGTTAGTGTTAAGTCATCAACATTAATCATCTACATTTCGTATTACAGTAATAGGATCATTAATCATCAATACTGTATATGATTTTATATACAAGATTGGTGCTTTCGGCGTTGGATTTTATTCGTTGTTTTCGGTTTGCGAAGAGCCATTGTAAGAAATTAAACATCCAAGTTTTTATTCACTGGAAAATGAGATCGCTTTCTCATTCATTATATTACTTCTTAAAGTGTGTCTTCCGGTGGGCAGGCTATGGCGTTTTATTGGCGCGGTGATCAGTTATTTGCGAATCATGATTCGTCAGTTTCGGACGGCCCAAAGTGGACTACATTTTTAATGGACTTACGGGAACCTCTAGAGGTATGAAGAGTCATCAAGAATCTTTTATTTGTTTTTTTTTTTTTAACTTAAGACTCGACTGATAAGTATATTTTCAATCAGGTACCCGAATTAAATAAATTCAGTTGTTTCCTGGCAAACTCTTTAGTAAGGATCAATATTATAATTTGATGTTAAATGCTCACGTACTCATGTAAATGAATGTGAACTTAGGGATTTACAGTGAACCTTCGCGAGATTTTGGTGTGTTGTAATGACCAGGTCATGATTCACCTTACAAAGCAAATGGGCAACACGCGTCCAGTGGACATCCATCCTAAAATAAACAAGAATTCTCCGCTAAATATGTTCAAATTTAAATCGGTTGATATGTGTAGCGTATTATTCAGCATATGTAGGGTAATTCTTCCAGCAGGTACATCACCATTCAAGTCACTTAGAAATTGCCGTGTAGAAGAAGATTCCATACTTCTTCAAATGGTCAGTGGTTATCTGGATGTCAATATTAAGAAAGAGTTTTCAGCAGAGATGGAGCGTATAACCAAGAAAAAACCTCCGAGTCAAACCAAGATACAAATGATCTTCTCTAGGTATGATGATATCCCCAAACGCGAGATTTCCTATGCCTTCAACGATCTTCTGCAACATTCCGAACAAGGAAAAGTTTTTATCGGTTTTCGTACGCACCAAACAACTGGATGCTTGGCACATTTGGCGGCAAGAGTCATTCCAACTGTAGGAATATGCTATTTTATTTGAAGTTGTTATATGAATTTATTATTATCGTATACTAAAATTACCCTTGACAGGTCGAACGCGAATCAATAGATTTAGCAGAGAAAACGCTAGCCGTGTATAATGGCGAACTGCTAAGTTTGTCCGGTACAATGTTTCGTATATTATACGAACATGAGATGAACCAAATAAAAAAGTCGTATAGTGAAAGTAAGTTAGGCCGAGAATTACTTGAAAGACAAGCGGCACATATCCTCTCACATTTTACCTTTAGACAAAGTACACCGGATTTTAAAGTAGGATCGATAATTGAAACGCATTTTTTAAATTGTTGTTCGTCAAAATTATCCATCTTATCTACGCACGGTGTCAAACCGATTGACGTGGTACGATTACTCAGTCCTGAAATGACCTTATTTATCAAAACGATTCCATCGGTCCCAAAATTAGTGTTCGATTATTGTACAGAGTTTTTCGTGAGAGCAAAAGATGTGACAAAACAAATTTGCGATGCCACCATTGAGGATGTATTTTTAGAGTTAAGAAGTCGAAATATGGATCAGGACGAGATGGCGGATCTAATGCAATGGTGGATACTATATTTCACGGATTGCGGAGACAAAGAAATCACACCATTTTTAAGTAATTTTTTGCTGCTGGCAGCTGTACGTGTGGGAGATAGTTTACTACCTCTTAAAAATGTTCGTTACTACATAAACCCAAGTAAAATTCCACCAGATGTAGATCTTCCACCTAGCGTGCTGCCATATTCTATCAGCAAAAAGATTAAATGCGAAGAACTCCAAAAATTCTTTGGGTGAGATAATCTACAGTATACTGTACTGGATTATAAATTTTTTCTTGATGCATTATTTATGTTGATCTAATACTGTACGTATTAACTACACAATTTAGAATGTGGACAGAATTTACACTTGTTATGTGGATTCGATATATAGCCGAAAAACCAGAACTGGAAAAGGATCCTCTGTTTAACGAGAAATTTTGGGGAATTTTCTCACGACGATTTCTTTCTATAAGTCAAGATGAAAAAAGTACAATACGTCACCTTCTCGCTAAAAAAAATATTGTTCCTACCAAACTTGGATTTAAAAGGCCAGCTGAATCTTATCTTTCTGAGGTGACTCTATTCCCAGATTTACCTACGGTTCTCATGAAAAATTATTCCGTAAAGGTTTCTGATAAGACTCTCATAGAATTAGGAGTACGCGATGTAAGTTTAATATGGTGTTTTTATACTCATCTCTATCGACCACTCCAATTAATGAGTTCCAATCATGATACAGCATGTAGAATTGCAACATGTTTTTGATCGACTTGTTAATCATGAGAATCTAGATCATATGCAGCTCATAAAATATCTTACAAAACTGATGAAGGATAAGAAACTTGCGAAAACCGACATTGAAAAGTTAAAGACAACAGAAATCTGGATAGCAGAGCAGCCACAAAATGATCCGGGTACTGAGTTTACAGTGAATGTTGCAGATAAATCGCCGTCTAATGTTCAAAGATATCGAGCGGAGAGTTTGTATACTCCACAAACACATAATCGAGAACTCGGATTGCCAATAATACAATGGAATAAGAAATGGCATAGCAAAATGGACGAAGGTGTGTGTTTCTATAACGATTCGTAGTTAGATTTTAATGCTATTGCATTTTCTAATAGCTAAACCCACGGTGCATGTAGCTAAATTCCTTATAGATCTCGGTCTGAATGAGCATCCATCCTTGAATAACATCCTTTGCCTTGCTTCACCAACAACGGCACTTTTATTTCGTGAAAAAGCGCTCAAATATTTCGTGGAAAATTTCAAGAATAAATATTCTCAATATTATGATGCCAATTCAGTTGATTTTAAGTTCCTGCCTTGCATGGAACAGGACGTTTATGCAGATCCATCGGAATGTTTTTCCAATGCAGAATGTAATGTTATGGGATTCAATGTTTTGCGCCAAGATTTGCGCTTTCAAGCCGAAGAATTGGGCATTAAGCAGCATCCGAGTGGAAAGCAACTAATCGACAAGCTGTTGGATCCACCGAAGAGCGTGAATGATGCCAGACCGATTTTCAATTATCTAGCATCACGGCAAGGTGATTTCGATCATAGCGATTGGAAAAAACTTGAAGCCCTCAAGTTCATACCCATTCATAGTAAAGAGAATTCTGATGAAATCACTCACAAATCGCCACGAAATTGCTTTTTCAAAAGTTCGGAAGAAATGTATGAATGAATGAATGTTATTTTGTAATTTTCTTTAATAAAAATTTATAATTAATCAAACTGACATATACTATATTTTTCTACGTATTTAGGTTTTCCGAATTTTTCCCTTGCATCGACTTTGGAGAAAAGGCGAACAAATTTTTAGAAGCATGTGGCGCAAAAAATAAACCAACGGCAACTCATTATGCAGAATTCTTAGTCGAGTCATCTCAGATATTTTGGAACAGATTGAAATGTACGAATAAAGATGAAAAAATGTACGCAACGGTTCTTGAAATTATCTCTCGTAACTTGGATATGATCTCAGATGAGCCAGAATTACTTGCTAAAATGAAACGCCACCCGATCCTGATGTGTTCAACACAATACGCTGGCAATAAAACCAAAAATTTTGAATTGGACCTTGCGTCGAATATATTTATTAATGACAAGGAGCAATACAGGCAAATTTTTAATCCACCTATTTGCCCATTCGATGACACATATGTTGTTTCACTTTACAAGGTAATGCATCGAATTTTGAGGGCGAAATATCTATACTGTATTGAAAAAAATTGACGCCATGGTACTTTTTTTTTTTTTTTACCAAGAAATTGGGATGTAGATCACTTAATGAAGGTGTCGAGACAACTCCTCTATTTGACGAAGAATGGGCAGAAGATTCCGTTCATTCTGACGACTTACATGAGATAATATTAGAACGTCTGCCTTTATACTATCATAGATTCTCAGACGAAGAAATTCAAATGGACGAAGATTGGTTAGAAAAGCTAGAGGTCAAAGAAATTAACAAAATTACTATCGAATATACATTTAAAGATACAGTCAAACGTCAATCAACCTATGCCAGTTTCCATCCCAATAATCGCTCTAAACTCTATGTTGCCTGCAGAAATGGGGATTTGTATTTTCCGGACATTGCGCTGGCCTTGGTTGAACGTATTCATGAAAAATCCCAAGTGGATCCTTCACGTATGCTTGTGATGTTAACATCTTCTCTAGAAGATTTGCAAAGAATGGGATATTCTATTGACCGAGGAATCAAGGGTACAATGAATATATCAAATTTGGTCGAGAAAAGTAAAAATTTGCCCGACGAATCAGACGATAATAGTGTGAGCTTATATGACAACCTATTCGAAGCGATCAGATCTTGCCGTTCAAATTCTCAGGGCGCGATCAATGAACAAGCTCTTTTGAATGTTGTTGAATCGGGTAATTCGGCATATTGTGATATTGTTCCAGGTATTATAAAGTATATACTATATATGGTTTCACCAATTTGCGGGTAACAGAAAACTGACATGACATCAATACTATTCAATTTATAGCACAATCTTTAGAATACGTTGGAAAAGAAGGTAAAATCGAAATCTACGTTGCAAAGGGTGCTCCTAACATCTTGGGAACAACGATGAATAAGCCCTTGAAAAGTTTTTCCTCTCTTCTAATTGACATCGCCAATGTCTTTGGTCTCGAGCACAACAAAATCCACATATTCTATGATAGAGATTCAATAGCGGTTGCCTTCAATCGTCAGAAAACTTTGTTTTTTAGCTTGAAAACATATATTGAATTGCATTACTCCGAAGGTTCAAACTCATCAATTGAAGCCATGTCTTCTTGGTATTTGACGATGTGTCATGAATTAGCACACAATTTCATTCACGAACATAGCGCTGGGCATGAGGTGAGACACATTGGATTTTGTTATTTAAACGAAAGATAAATTTTCTAATTTCTTTTTGTATTAAAAAGAAATATTTGCAAGAATTTGCAAAAGTATTCATGTCGAATTTTATAAGACAAATATTATTCGTAAATAGAGAATGAGTTCGATCGATACGTTAAATATCCCGCAGTTGAACACATTTCACTTTCAATAAGATTTAGAAATGGATAGAGAAGCGTACCCTGACATGCAAATAACGACTCTTGTGGTTGAATATAGAAAAAGTGCCGTGATAATGATAACTAGATTAGCTAAAATTTATTTTAGGATATTTAAACAAAAAGTTTCTTATTACTGTACTGTACTGTATGTAATAGCTAACCGATTTTAGAATATTTATTGTACGTATACGTATTGCATCCCGGGATTGATTTAAATAGTGAGCTTTCTAATCCTTAAAAACCAATTTTACAATCTCGGAATGGGATACATTCATCTCTAGAATATTTAAAAAAGATACTGTACTGTATATTTAATTTGAACAGTTTTGTCGGTCTGTTGCTAACGCTCACTGTACAGTATTAGCAAATTTTTATAATTTTATAATTTTATCGTATCACTTCATTATTATACTGTATATAGTTAGATTAATTTTAAACTTCACCTAAATCTTTAAACATATACGTATTAGCTCTAAGTATATGTCTTGATAATTTTAAACGCGGATTAAATAAACATTACTGGTACTTGATTAATTACAAAAAAAAAAATTAAATTAATTAAATTTTTTAAAATATGAATATAGGACTAATAAAATCATTGGATTGAATATTTTATTTGATTTTTTTAATATACAATAAATAACATCACGATTTAATTTTTAATTGGTTTTAGCAAATTTAAAAATTCGAAAATAATATAAAAACAAAGATGATAAAATATTTGTTAATATATTTTTTTAAAAAACCAATTTTTTGTTTATTTTTTTTATTAAAATATTATAATAAAAATAATAAAAAAAAGAATATATATATATTATATTATTTATTATATAATAAACAAGTTGACATATAAAATACATTATTAAATATTGAATTAATGAATTTTGTTAAAACATCATACAATATTTATCATCAGGTAATTACTATAAAAAAATTTGAAATAATATTTTTTAATTAAAAATATTAAAAAAAAAATCGTAACATTTATATCTGTTATAAATTGCATTAATTTTTGAAATAGATAATAAATAAATGCGATGAATATACAATATTAAATACAATCGCAACCAATCATCTGATTGTTCTAAAATGAAACCGAAATAGTTATGTTAAATTTTATCAAAGATATCCAGATAACAAAAAACATCCATTTCCTATAAATAACTAGAAAACCAATTATTTTATTTTTTATTTTAAAAAAAAAGATTAACAATTCTTACTATTGTAACAGTGTGTGCAGTATTTCGGATTTTTAGAAATCACATATTAATAATATTTGGATGTTAACTTTTAAAGAAATTTTTTAAAGATGAAAAACAATTAAATAATAATAATGATAAAAAATAATAATAATCTACCGTATTTATTTATTTATTTATTTTTATTTTTATTTTTATTTTTATTTTTATTTTTATTTACTTTATTTATTGATAATAACACGATCAATCAATTCCCTAATAACCAATAATCTTAATAAGATTAGTACGTAGGCAAGATGACTTGATGCGCGGCAGTTTAAAATCGATGAAAAAGTGATTAATGATTAATGATAAAATAGCAAGTGGTAAATGGTGATGTGGATTAATTTTTTGGGACATAATGATTTTTTCATAATAGTAAAAAATAGTACCGCATCGTATGTTTATGGGAGTCGACTGATAAAAAAATAACAAGTTTTATTCAAATGTCGTTAGATTCGAATTAAAAAGATTTAAATACGATATTGTGATGTGACTTGATAAGAATAATATGTAATGATGATTACGGTACATATTTCCTAATGCACCAAGCTGAAAGAAAAATGGTATTATTATTTAAAAAATATATATACAGTATATACTTTTTTTTTGTCAATCCAATAAGTGCCTTAACATCATATCTTTCGGCGAATGGTACTATACACCCGAGTCTCACACACAATGATATCGTTTTATCGACCTTTTGATTAGGTAAGGTGTGTATGTGCGAATATAGGTAGATTTATTCAATTGTGGATAATTTGAAATCGAACAAAAGAAATCGTTAAGCTTTAAATGATAGATACAATTAGGCATTACCCTTTCAACATTATACTGTACCGTAACACCGTACGTGCTGTAGGTAAATCACACAACGTTGCTTAAATACCGTGACCACAATACGCATGTAACTGACTGATTCCTTCTTGTTTAGGATTTCGCTTGTAGTGTGATGAACCACATCAAAAGATTCATCAAAATCTTAATAATAAGACTTGTTATTGTCGCACGACGTCTGTACTAATTAGTCTCGAAAACTTTCCAAATTAAAGTGTCAAACAATAACATCAAACAAAACATGCGTTTTACAGTAATTAAAGTGCAAAGGATACATAGATAGCATGAAAACCATATGTGGCGACCAACCGGTTAACATAAACTTGAAAATATGTATTCGTGACCTTACCTTTAACCTCGTCTTTTATTCTTCCAAAAACAACAATCCTTTTTTTTTCTTGTACATATGTGCACACGCACCTACATACGCATTAAGGCGTGATCATGTCATTTTTTCCAAAAGAAATGCGCCTGGAATGATTCTTAGAATCCGGTAGAAAAATTTTGGGTACTCACGTGAGACGCATGTAAATAAGAACTATAAAAAAGGCTCTTATTGTTTGGGTCATCGGATCATTGTTGACACATCATCGTTACTCAAATTCTGACCTACGTATTCCTTTAGAAAATCATTTGATCACAGGTTCATCTGAAATACGTATTTAAGGTACTGCATTTTTCGACCGTAATGGCAATCAAGCCTTTTTTCACCAAGAAATTTTTTTTCACGGCGTAAATTAATCAAAAATGAATTATTCCTCGGAATCAGAAAATGCAGAGACTTTCAGAATTCGCGGAAAGAAATACTTCTCACAAGGAAAGGATTTCGAGTCTCTGGTGAATTTAACAAAATCACTGGAGCTGGATCCGTATAATGCGGAGGCATTCAGAATACGTGGGAAGATCTACTATCTACAGGGAAGGGATCGAGAGTCCTTGACAGACATTAATAAATCGCTGGCATTAGATCCAAACAATGCTGAGGCGTTGAAAATTCGGGGGAAAATCTATTTCTCACAAGAGAGAGACATAGAGTCCTTGGAGGATTTGACCAAATCACTGTTCATGGAACCGGACGATGCGGACGCACTGAGAATCCGCGGGAAGATCTATTTACTGCTACACAGATATGAAGAATCAATAAAGGATTTAAATCGATCGCTAGAATTGCGACCAAATAATGCCGACTTGTTGAGAATCCGTGGGAAAGCTTACTGCGGACTAGGCCTGTACGAGAAATCTTTGGAAGATCTAACCAAATCATTGGATTTAGATCCGAACAATATGGATGCACTGATGACTCGTGGGGAAACTTATAGCAAAATAGGGAAATATGACGAGTCTTTGGCCGACTCAACGAAATCATTGGATCTAGATCCGAATAATGCATATTTATTGCGCAATCGTGCAATGACTTACTTCCTGCTGGGTAAATATGAAGAATCTTTGTTAGATTTGCGTAGATCGGTAGAATTGGAACCCGGAAATCCGGATGTATTGAAAATATGCCAAATAATTTTTTCAGAAATAAGAAATTATGATGAAGATGTCTCTGCGATGGATATATCTGACAGTGAGGACTATGAATTAAATTATGAGGATCAGATCGATTAATACCAATAAGATGATGAAATATACTATACGTACATAGAACAAAAAAAGAATTAAAAATTGTAAGATAATTAAGATAATTTCACTGGAATATGCGAATTAACGAATATAATAGATACCCTTTAAAAACATCGTGTAACAATGTATTAAAATAATATATTATATGTATCATTTTTTTTTTTTCATTATGTTCAAAAATTCTTGCAATAAAATTTTGTGTTCACGACAAGCACCACTATATTACTAACCAAAGAAATTGATGGATTGGTTTTACGGAATTTTCTTCGGTTACATTCTCACGACCACATTCTTATCAGCTAATATCATTCATTTGAATGGAATCGTTCTGACAAAGTGCTACGTGCCACATGTAATTGCATATTATCAACTCGTGATTATACCCAACGTCGGAAAAGCCAATAATGTACACACGTACAATGCACACAACAAAATACCATATGAACCTCGTTCACCGATAATTCACAATGAAATTGCGTACACATTACTGTAATGCTTTCATACACGTAATACAAAAACATACTAAAATATTCTCACGCAAAGTTACACTTGTGATACTCGTGACGCGCGTAACGTCTTTATATAAAGTTAACGATACTCTTGGAAACATCACCGTGAAATGACGAAATGTTGGAAAAGAAAGATTGGTTAAATAATGCAACCGAAGGTCACTATATAAAAGTATTTTGTTATGAAAAATTTTCAAAAATCAAACAAATTGGAGAAGGTGGTTTCGGCGAGGTACATAGAGCATACTTAAAGAGTGTCAGGAAAACTTTTGCGCTCAAACGCTTGCGTAACGTTGATAATGATGAATTTTCTAAAAAATTTGTAAAAGAGGTAACTTTTCGATTCAATGCGCACATGAATTAACTTACAAACTACAGTTATTGTTGGACGTTCATAACTTGGTATGTGCATACATGTTTCAAGCTAAAGAACCATCGGGATGTTGATCACAGCGATAATGTTATCAGATTTTTTGGTATTAGCAAAGGTCAGCTACTTTAAGTTCCTGTGGACAATCGTTTAAATTTTCGCATGCTAAAACGTTCGTTTATCTAATAACAAAGATCATAGTGAAGAAACGTATTACTTGGTACTTCAATTTGCTAACGAAGGAACCCTTCGATACTATTTAATGAATGAATTTTCCAAACTTGATTGGCTAAAAAAAATTCGCATGGCCAAAGATATTTCGAATGGACTGAATTGTATCCATGATCAAAACATTGTGCACGGGGATTTAGTAAGTGGACATTGTTTAAATCCTTTATCGATAGGCGTATGTTTCTTTGCGAATAGAAAAATACTCATTAGGAAACAAATTGTTAGCATTCAATGAATGTTTTGGTTCATGACGGAAGATTGATGATTACAGACTTTGGATTATCTAAATCTTTGGAATCGAACTCTGATCATTCTAACAAAGGCGGAATACCCGCATATACTGATCCTCGACAGCTTCGGAGTGATTATAAGCGTGATAAAGCCTCCGATATTTACAGCCTTGGAGTTTTATTCTGGGAAATATCAAGTGGAAAAGTTCCTTTCAATGGCCTTTTAAAGGAGACGATCCTCGATAAAACGAAATCCGGAACTCGGGAAGAACCAATTCACAATACGCCTAAGAAATATGTAGAAATCTATTGTAACGCATGGCACCACATCCCAGATCAGCGTCCACCGATTGAAATCATCTGCCAGGATCTCGATGATATTGAACATGATGATGAACTATATTATTGCCCTGCATCCGTGGCATCCGTGTTGCTTGCTAATGTACAAAGTTATGATCCGTTAGATGAACATGACACTATTTCCTACGATAATTCGTCTTTATCAAAGGAAGAGTCGTGTGATTCCTCTCATTGTGGTCTCAGTGATGCCATTTACAAAATTAATTCAGCAGGTAATTTTGAGAAAATTGAGATACAATTTATAGATACGATAAGTACACAAGTTAATGCGTAAATTATTAGGTAATGCAAAGTCGCATACCAATTTGAAACATGGTGCACACGATGAAGTAAGTACACACATACTTTTACCATTTACAAAAAAAAATTTTTATGACCAGCATTCGATGATAATATTAACATTTACTGTACAAGGATATCAAATCGTCCAAACCGGTTAAAAGTTGCAAACAAATATTTGAGAGATTTAATGAAATCTATAATGATTACTGGTCTTCTATGGATAAACCAACAAAATGTCTGAGCTATTGTCATGTTCCTTTTAATGACGTTGAAGGAATCTTGTGGCACCTTGAACACGAATTTTTCGAGGACGAAGAGGAGAAATACTGGTCAAACATTAATTTGCAAAATATTCCTCCTTATTTTGGATATAGAAAAAAAGAAATTATCCTTATTTTCGAGGCGTTCAAAGCACATAAAGTTGGCATCAATATCCTCCACTTGTTTCCATATTACATATTTTATAGTTTTGGAATACTTGCTTCGGATGCGATCAAGGAAGTCGAAAACTTTTTACCTTGGTTAACTGAAAATTATGGCGATATAAATAAAATAAAATGCCATGACAACAAGTATTATCTGTATGGTGTGCTAGATTATTTCAGCAGTTACTTTAGAAAAAAGAATTGTGGTTATTGTTTAGCTCACCAAATAATTTTGATATTTCTAAGAAATGGGTTTGATCCCAATAACAAGTATTCCCTCTTATTACCTAATTTATTATTCTACGCCATTAACCGAAAATATCCTGTCTTTATAATAGAGCTTATTTTAGAATATCATGTAGACTTGAAGATTTTAAACGAAAACGGTCACGATGCATTATTATTTGCTTCCTTGCGTAAACGTATCGAGATATTAGAACACCTGGTGAAGAAGAACTGTAGTTTTCTTGATTATCGAAGCAAGATCAAATTATTACACCCTTTTTTCTTGTTCGAAATTATTTCCAAGGATTATCCGATTCCCACGATTGAGTTTTTTATTGAACAAGGAATAGTAGATTTATCGGTTAAGAAGGACAACTTGAATGTACTTAGTTTCGCGGTCAATCTCAAAAGGTCTGACATTATGAAATTTCTTTTGGAAAATTATCCTGAGCTTAGCGAAGAAGAAAGTCTCACCAGTGCGTTAACACAAGCCGGGTATTGGGGCCAAGAGAGAAGTTATTTAAAAAGTTGGCAAGGCCTCGAAGGGGAGAACAAGAGGTTCAAGCTTATGCTTAAGAAACTCGGGAAATTGGTAGTGTATTTTTCACATTCGTTTATTCATTTTTAAAAGGCACTTACTAATTTCTGGAATCTTTCTTTATAGAGTTAATACGTATTTATCTGCAAAAGATGTCCTGTGCATAACTTGAATGACATAAGCAGTCGACCAATCCCTATTAATGTACACTCGTTTTATTCCTGTGGGTGTGAAACATGCCTCCCTTGGTGAGTTCGAGAACGATGGCATCGTTGATCGACAGCTTTCAGAACGTATAGGTTGATTGGATATACAAAAATTTGGGAATCTTTATGTTATGAATATAAAATATATTATATAATAAAGGCAACTTTTTATTAAATGCACGAATTTAAAAAAAAAATTTTTTTAATTAAATGTAATAAAACCTTTTCAAATACATTTAAAAATATTAAAAAAAAACAATTAAAAAAATTAGATTTTTTTATTATTATAACAAATTTATATTATTAAGCAATTACATATTTTAAAAGCTTTGATAAATACATAATTATTAAAATACTATTCATGGAATTATAATAAACTGTAAATAGCATAATATTAAACTTGGAAAAAAAATTATTTTAAAATTTTATTAACATGTTAAGATTATTATTTGCAATAAAAAAAGTTGGAAATTTTAAATAATCATTATTTTTTGATTATAATTTCATATTATGTTTTTAATATATGAGAAATTATTTTTTTACATAATTTTGTTTTTTTATATTTTGTTATAAACTATATACATATACATATAAGATTTAATATTACAATATATATATATTTATACCCCAGCTGGGGGCAATTCACATATCCCAAATTGGAACTTTGTGTCACTGCCCCTGTAACTCATGATAGAGAGCTATTTGGATTGCTCCAGCGATTAAGAAGCCATATGGATAGACTACACTCCATAGGTCAAAAAGATAGATGATTTGATTGGTAAACTTTCTTATCAAGTATTGCCCGGGAAATACCTTCAAAAGGGGAAAGAAGTTTCATGGGATCTTTCCGGTAGCAGAAAGAAAGGTACAGACAGCTAAAACCATTAGTCGCACAACTATTAGTAAGAGTTTCACATGTCTGTTGGTAGTAAAGATCCAGTTGGGATTGCAGAAGGTCGCTTGTATCATGGAATGTTCTATCCTAAGGAGTACACTTGCGACGGTTGACTGCATGTCCCATAAATTGTAACCCCCCGCATATGTTGCTAGGTCAGATTAGGCAAGGTAAGGCTGGGTCTGATTCCCAAGTGTATTTGGTGTACTGGTGTACCCTTATCCTCCAATGATATCACACTGACTAAATCCCAGTAAGTCTTGACTAAACTGAATGGTTGAAAAACTGTAATGGTAGCTGCAGGCAATTATTATCCTGGCAGATAGCAAAGGTTTGCTTGCTTTGAATATAGCAACTCTCCACCCCCACCATCTATACTTAGAGGCTTAGGTCTAAGATGAGTATTTAGGACTGTTATAATCACCCCCTGTACCCCGGAGAAACACCGGGAGACTAGAAAGGTGATATAAAGGTATTTGAATTGACAGCAAGGGTTAAAAAAAAACAATATTTATATATTTATTATATAATTGTATTATATATTGTTATGGATCAGAGATCTATCAACAGTAATGGCAAAATCCTAGACTTCAGAACATTTTGACAAGAGTATCTAATATAACAGGAGGGCTTAAAGACAGAAAGAGGCATAGATTTGACAAGTTTGTGTGATTTGGAAGGATTTTATTGGTCAGAACAGTGCAATAAGTAGGTAAATTTTAACACTCTTATTGACTAATTTTTTCACTTCTCTTTTTCTACTACATTTCCTTACATTATTTTTATACTTTTTCTTATGACAAAAAAAAATAAAAAAAATAACAGAAATAAAAAAAATAAAGAAAATAAAAGAAATAACAAGGTTGAGGATCGATTACCCATTTTGACAACCTCTATAATGCACAATTGTTGTTTTCTCAATTTCTAAGCCATATTATCAATCGTTGTTTCCCCATAACAATATATAATATAAATTTATTTGCTGTTGACTCAAAAATTTTTTTTAAATATTAGCTGAATCTTGCTTAACAGACTTTTATTAAAATTAATATTTATATAAATTTATACATATTGTTGTATATAAACTATGCTATAACATTAATTATTCTTTTATATATACTAAGTTATATCAAGATTTTTCTAAATATCAATTATTGTTATTACTTTTTCTATTGGATAAAGATTGAAACTAATATGTCAAAGCTCTACTGTTGCGATGTCACTGTTATAATTTACTGCTTTATTTTTATTAAAAAAAAATAAAAAAATTAAAATAGAGTATTAGAAATAATATTAGAAAACTTTTTGAACAAAGATCTTTAAAAATCTTTAGGCATAAATTTCTGAAAAACTTTCATTGTCATTAAAAGACTCTAAAGTGAAAATTTATATATTAATCTTTAGAAATCTTTAATGTATTTTAATAGTAATAAAATATATTTACATTTACATATTATAATAAAATAATATTTAATTTAAAACATTTAATTGTCTTATAAAATTATTTTTATTATTATATAATTTTTTTAATTGATTTTTTTTTATTACATAATTCTTTTTACAGTTTTCTATTTGTTTAAATTTTTGCTTATTGCTAAAGTTCTTCTTTCTAATTCTCTATTTTCAATAGTTATTATAAATTTTTTTTAGTATTTTTATGAACTTTCAGAGATTTTTCTAGATTAATAATTACTGGATCAGTTATTTCTTTATCTTTGCAATTTGAATCTTTTTTTTCAAATACAAGTCCTTTTTTAATTCTCTCTTAAAAATATTATTAGCAATAATTTAAAATACTTCAAAGATTTTAAAACCCACTTTATTTTTTTCTACTTTGCTTTTAATTAATATTTTATTTATTGAAATACTTTTATTACTCAGATCAAGAACTGTTTGATATACTAAAATAGTGGATACTACTTATTTATTAAAGACATTTTTCTTTGATTAAACTTTTTCAAGAATACAAGTTATTATGTTTTGTGACTTTCCTTTTGGACAGTTGTGAAGATTTTCAAAACATTTAACATTTTTTTGAAATTGTTTCCAGGTCAAAATTTTGATAAGAGTTGCATTTGTATTTATTGTATCCAAATATCAAAAATATGCATTATAAACTTTTGAAACTATAGTTTCCTGAAGTAATCAATGCTGTTTTACAAACTTTCAAAGCAATAAATTATTAAATAAATAAAGAATTAAAGTTATTAATATTTAAAATAATTGTTGCTTGGTAAATATTTTTTTTATATTTCCAATATTTTCTTGTAAAGCCTTTATAAAACTTTGGATGTTTTTGATAAAAAAACTTCTTGATTATTGTGAGAAGAGATTTGCATTATCATATAAACTGATGTTATAATGATTTCAAATCTCTCAAATCTGAGATATCTTTGTTATAGTTGATTTATTTCTTATATGTCTTTTCTTGGTTATAGTAATTATAGCAATTATAGCAATTATAGTAGAAATATTTATCCAGGAGTATCGGAGGTGGCATGTGCAATGTGTTGTTAAATGCTAAGATCATTGATGTTGTTAATGTGACATGTTGGATAATTTGAATGGTTAACAAGAGAGATGTTGTAATGGGAAGCTTGGATGAAGTGTGATTGGTTATAGTGTAGTTGTTTTAGTTTCTTGTTGTGATATTTGATTTGTCATGTGTGTCATGTGTAATTGTAAATGTGATATCTGGTAAGATTTGATTAATAAAATGTTTTAATATGGACACATTACGGTGTAAAAGTATTTGTTGTAATATGTATTGACACAAGTTGTTGCTGGAGTGTTTTGATGTGGACACGTTTTATGAATGTGTTTTGTTACTATGTTTTGTTGTTTGTAGTTGGATTTGGCACGCGTAGATCTTATTTACTTGATGTGTGTGAGCCTGTTTACTTGTTATTGTAGGGATTGACTTTTTCAAGAGACATGTTTGTGATACACAGATTTTGAAGGAGGCAAGCTGGTTCTGGTTTTTATGGATTGATGTATGTACGATAAGGTTTTTTCCCTTATTTCTGTATAGATGATAGAAAGTCTGGTGTCCTTCTAGCTTCAGGAAGATGTTGAGGTTGTTTAATTTATCAGATGAAATCTGGCCTTCCTTGAGTTTCTACAGTATCTAGAGGGGGTGTTTAATCTGGCACATAATTGGCTGTAGTGATGGCAGGGATGTTGGCTTCCTGAGACCTTACTATGAATTAGGAAGCTTGGTTTTTATCTTCCTCTTTTACAATAAAAAGATAAACTGAAGTTGCTTTCTTTATGATCTATAAATTGATAAATTAGTACTAAATAGTGTATTCTTAGTTTGTTATATCTGGTAGTGATATTGTTTCTTAGTGTTTGAAGTGTTTTTGTGAAAAGAACTTGGTAAGTTTTTCTTTTGAAGAGAATTTCCTAATTAGGAAATATGGTGATAGACGGGAAAAAGTTTTTGTATGAAAGATTTTTTTTTATTGATGAATATTAATATAATATATAATTAATAATTATTGAATATAACATATATAGAATATTCAGTAAATTCATATATAGGTAATTATTTTTGAAGGTGAACCAAAATTTAAGATATAATTTTATTATCCTAAAAAAATATAGCCTTAAATTTTATATCATATGATATTGATTAATAATGTGATTTTTTATTGATTTAAATTTTTAAGTATTAAATTTTAAAAAGATTAAAATAGTTATATCTTAATTAATATGTAATATTATTTAATAAATGAGTATTCATTTTGAAGCTTATATCATGGGCTTTCATATAAAAAAAATTTATTAATATTTAATAATTGATTGTCAAGATAATTATATAATAATACTGTCATTTAATTTTTGAATTTTAAATTTAAATATTTAAATATTTAAATATATATTTTTTTTTTTTGTAGGTAAACATTATTACTTTATTAATTGTAAAATTGTTTGAAATTTATATATGGAGAAAGCGACAACATCTTTTATATAACTAGTTAGTTAATAAGTCTAATGCTAGCTTGCCTACATAAACTATCTTAGTGATA